GATGCCTGAAGGATCCTCCCCTCCAGCCTCCGGACAGAGCATGGCCCTGCCCACACCTTGACTGCAGACTTGTGGTCTGAGGGTCTGACAGAATAAAGTTGTGTTGGGTGGGTCACCCTGTTTGTGGCCCCTTGTCAGAGCAGCTCGAGGACACACAGCCACTGTCCTTTTGCATTTCTGAGGTGCAGTGATGAGTTAACCTCACGTCTGTCCCCCTTCGTTTTGTGCACCTCCCTCGGGCTGTCTGTGAGTCATTTATGCATTTACTTATTAAATGTTATTTACTTTGAGCATTTCTTAATATTGTAAAATCAAGCACAGACCAACCCCCTTTTAAAATTCGGTCTTGTCCTCGGCAATGCGGACCACACAGCACGGGTTTGCTACGGTAACTGTGGCTGCTTTTTTTTTTTTAATTATTATTATTATTTTTTTAACATTTATGTATTTTTGAGACAGTGAGAGAGCATGAACGGGGGAGGGTCAGAGAGAGAGGGAGACACAGAATCTGAAACAGGCTCCAGGCTCTGAGCTGTCAGCACAGAGCCCGACGCGGGGCTCGAACTCACGGACCGTGAGATCACGATCTCAGCCGAAGTTGGACGCTTAACCGACTGAGCCACCCAGGCGCCCCGTGGCTGCTTTTTAACACCCTCTAAAATCAGCACACAACCATGAGGGTAAGAAATGTTCATAGCCGCACCCAGAATCAGCTGACTCACCTCCCAGAACCTCAGAACAAGCCAATTAGGACAGGAAGACAGACTGCTTTTCTGTTGCTTTTTGCCCCCAAAAGAAGGATCTCTGAAGACCTGATACTCATCTGGCTACACACCCCTTTTCATTCAGGCCCACTCTTATCGTGCTCTTTAAAGAAAACACGGACGGGGGAGCTGGGTGTGAAAGTTCTCTAAGCCTTCATTTTCATCCGCACAATGAGGATATAACCACGTCCTCTGAAGACCGGATGAGAAAAGGGCGCAGATTGTTAACAGCATTTCTATGAAATACCCAAAATAGGCAAATCCGTGGAGACAGAAAGCAGATTAATGGTTGCCAGGGTTTGAGAGGAGGGAATGAAGAGTCCTCACTGACGTGTACAGGGCCTCTTTTTGGGGTGAGAAGAACATTCTGGAACTAGAGAGCAGCAATGGTTGCACGGCATGGTGACTGACCTAAATGCCACTGGAGTTTACTTGTACACTTTGAAACGGCTAAAATGAGGAGCTTTTGGGGCGCCTGGGTGGCTCAGTCGGTTGAGCGTCTGACTTCAGCTCGGGTCATGATCTCACGGTCTGTGAGTTCGAGCCCCACGTCGGGCTCTGTGCTGACGGCTCGGGGCCTGGAGCCTGCTTCGGATTCTGTGTCTCCCACTCTCTCTGCCCCTCCCCCGCTCGCTCTCTCTCCTTCAAAGATAAATAAACATTAAAAAAAAATTGAAATGGCTAAAATGGTGAGCTTTAGGGATGCCTGGGTGGCTCAGTCAGTTAAGTGTCTGCCTCTTGGTTTCGGCTCAGGTCACAATCTCATGGTGTGTGAGTCTGAACCCTGTGGTTGGGCATGGCGCTGACAGTGGGGAGACTGCTTGGGATTCTCTCTCTCCCTCTCTGTCTGCTCCTCTCCCCCACTCACTCTCTCTTAAAATAAATAAACTTAAAAAAAATAATAAAGTGATGAGTTTTATGTTAGGTGTATTTCGCCAAAATCTATTTATTTTTTTTAATTGGGAAGGAAGCATCTGCCTGGGGTAAGTGACACCAATCAAGTCCCTCTACCTCTCCGAACCTGTTTCCTCATCTGCAAAACGGGGGCATCGGCAGAACCTACGTCACGGGTCGTCGTGCGGATTATACCACTGGGTCTGTAGATGTGACCGGTGGGTACAGCACACTGACAGGCTGCTTCCCCTGGGACTGCTGGAAGGACTCACCACCCTAATGCAGACAGAGCAGCTGGTCTGCAGACGTGTGTTCAGAAGAGGCTTAGCGAGCCTCCCGCCCCCCCTTAAGGCCCCCGGCAGGCTCCATACGGTGTTGGCCTCTGTAGGCTGTTTCTGGCATTCTGACTCACGACAGCACATCAGCTCGGAGCAGATCATATTTTAAACCCCAGTAGCTTGGTCTGAGCAATAGGGCGCTCTGGATGTAATTCTGCAGGTAATTTGAACGATGCTATCTAATTTCAAATGTCCCTGCTCTTACGAGTGCGAAGGCAGCATAATTTTTAATTAGTGGGTAAACAGTAAATAATGGATGGCGGTAAGTGGACACCACTGTTAATTAAAAACCCATGGTTGATAAAAATCAATTTGGCCCATGCATTGAACTCGGTCTATCAGGTCCCTGCGAAAAGTTGTGCAACCGACCCACGGCACCATCTGCGTTCAGCTGTTT